CCTTTTAGATATCAGGATCATAGGTAGGATTTACAGATAAAATAAAAATACCTAGTTAAATTTGAATTTCAGGTAAACAACAAATAATATTTTAGAATATCTCAGGCAATATTTGGGAAATACTTATACTAAAAAAATTATGTTTTTTATTTGCAAAATACAGGGTGGGGAAAAAGTAGGTTGATAGCTGTGAGTACATGAAACAGAGTTTATTACTGTATTATTATTTATTATTGTATTCTTTTTCATACAAACAACTATAAACATACTTTTGCCTCACCCTGCATTTTTATTTCATAATTCTGTATTTTTATTTGCTAAATCTGGGTAACTTGGTAATAGATTAGTTTCTTATCTGTATTTTTTAGAGTTTCTGTGGCATGTATATTGTTGGCAATGAGAAGAAATAACAATTGGAATTTAAAAAAAACACAAAACACTTTTAGTTAGAAGAAGCATGCCAGCCCTAACCAGTTTGGCTCAGTGGATAGAGCGTCGGCGTGTGGACTCAAGGGTCTCAGGTTCGATTCCGGTCAAGGGCATGTACCTTGGTTGCGGGCACATCCCCAGTGGGGAGTGTGCAGGAGGCAGCTGATCGATGTTTCTCTCTCATCGATGTTTCTAACTCTCTATCCCTCTCCTTTCCTCTCTGTAAAAAATCAATAAAATATATTAAAAAAAGAAGAAGAAGATAAGAAGCACGCCAGAGATAAGTGATGTGCTTATCTTCTCTCATTAGAGGTTTTCCTTCCTCAAACTCTGGTCAGTGGACCAGGAGCAACAGCCTCACCTGGGAGCACATCACAAATGCAGACACAGACGCCACCCAGACCTACCAAATCTGAATCACATCTTAACACAGTCCCAGGAGACTTTAATGAGAGGCGCCACTCTACAAGCTCAATGAAAAGCGATCTTCAAAATAACTGAATCCTTTTCGAGAGAAAAAATCCTCACCAAGAGTGAAAGGAGAATCTGAGACTGCGTTGAGCACTCTGACCTGAAGCCAAGAACATCAGCGAGAGAGGAGAGGCCTCCCAGGGACAGGAGCCCAGGCACTCGATCTTGTCCATCCCCCACGTCCGTTAGGGCCCAGGCCCAGCGCCCAGGGGCATGGAAAACTGGTGGGGGTGGATTTTTGATGTTGTTTTGGAGGGCATGGGATTTTACTGATTTGTAATTTGTTTTGTTTGGGCAAGAGGGCTGATGGGTGTTTCTTGGGCTGTGTTTCTTTTTTTTCCCCTTTTAACTTGAATTTGTCAATACCAATGAATAATCAGTTAAAACGGGTGAGATCTACTCTAGGTAAGATTATTAAAATTCTTCTTTTAATGAATTATAAATATATATATATATATATATACCCAGTGACCAAACGGCAGAATGGCCAGTCACTATGATGCTCACTGACCACCAGAGGGAAGACACTCAACATAGGAGCTGCCCCTGGTGGTCAGTGCGCTCCCACAGTGGGAACGTCACCCGGCTGACCGGGATGAGCGGTGTTCCCACAGCAGGAGCAACTGCTCAGGGGGCAGATCCACAGCTGCTCAGCTCACTAGGATGAACAGCGCTCCCACAGTAGGCCAATCCCCACAAGCCACGCCCCCCCCCACACCAGTGCACAAATCTGTGCACGGGGCCTCTAGTATTTAATAAACATGGACAAATTTGGTCAACCACCAAATACCTCCAAATTATCTCACAATTAGTAATGGACTCCCCTTTGTACTAGCACATCTTGCCACATGCTGGAAAACTAGAGACCATGTGAAAAAGAAGCATAATGTCAAAGCCCATCTTCTGAGGTACACAAGTTTTAGAGAATGAGCCAAAGACACAGGACCAACTCCTGAAGGTGGCTGTCCCCATCTCACCATAGCACTTCCACCTTGGAGGCCACCTCAACTCCGTCCCCCCTTCCCCATTACTTTGTGTGGGCATTAGAGCATAGATCAGTAGCCAAGTGTGAGCCATGGATTTTGTTGCTGCTCTTGTTATTCATTTATTTCTTTATTATCCATTTCTCTCACCAGAATAGAAATTCCATGAGAGCAGGAGTTTCATCTGACTCATTCATGAGTGTACCACAGTGCCCGACACCCAGAAGGCACTCCACAAACGTTTGTAGAAGAAATGAATAAAGATGTCCTACAGCTAGGAATACACGGTGTTCTTTCTGGTCACTGCTTATTAATTTTATGTTTTTTCACTCATCAATCATAGACTTGGACTTTAGTCTAATATCTTGAATACATTTTTGCTTCATTTTTCAGTAGATAATGCCTGATTTCGTCTTGTAGCTTGGAGTAGAAACTTTTATAATAATAATTCTGATACCATTTCAGAGGCTAAGTAAGTTGCTTCTCACTTTCATTAGCTGCAGTGATATTCTGATCACCCCATGCTATAGTCTCAGAAAAGAGGGAAAGTTCTGGAAAACAGTTGTTTTTCTCCTCTTTCTAGAAAAGCACTAGAGATCAAAGGCACTATAAAATAAATTCATAATGGTGCGCACACACACACACACTCACACACACACACTCCAGCCTTTCTAAATGTTCTGCAAAGAGGCAAGGACATTTCTGGGACTGTGTGAGGAGAGTCCCATGCAATCTCATAAAACTCCCAGGGCCTGATTTCACAGACACACTCTGGCAGAATGGAAAATGGAACAGATTTGGGGAAGGCAGAACAGTTTCCAGAGATACAGGATGAGTGACAGGAAATACATCAATCAACACACTTGCTACTCAGGCAGGGTTCAAAACAATTGGTGTTTGCACTCAGTTTCCCAATGAAATCTTGGGCAACTCAATTAACCTCTTTCTGCCACATTCTCATCACTTGTAAATTGAGTACAACAATCTATCTATCTAGCTGAGATTGCACAGGGATTTGGTAATAAATGAGAGTAGACAGCTCTATGTGTGATACCTAATAATATTATATTAACTAGCATGAAATCATGGGGCTACAAGGACTCAAAAGGTCAATCTAGTCCTTTCACTCGGGACCACAATGAAGCCATTCCAGAGGGATTAGATGCAATCCTCTTTTTTAAAAAGTGTCTGTATAAAGAAATTCCAAGAAAATACCCCTTTGTTAATTTATAATGACTCAATCCTGCACCCTTAGCACACGGTGCTTCTGCCCTTCAGTGATGAATACAGTAGCATCCTGTTTAGAGCATGGGAATTGGAGACAGGATGACTTACGTCCCACTGGACTCCACTCTGTCCTGGCTACATGACTTTGAGCAAGTTACGACCTTAACTTCCTCAAGCCTCCGTTTCTCCTCTAGTTGTGCCACTGACCCCATAAGGTTGGCGTCAGGACAAGTGAGTAAACAAGTATGGCGTGTTTCACAGTGCCTGGCTCATGATTTGTGTACCAAATCACCAGTAACATGATTTTCTGGCTGAATAACGCTGGCCCCTATAATTTTTATTGACAGTATAACTTAAAATGTTAATCATTTCATTTTTATGATAGTGCTGCAAACTGTAGAAAGCAGCTAACTGTGCAGAGCAGCTTGGGGAGATTTCTTCTCCATTGCTTCTGGGATGCGAGGGGAAGGCTGTGTGACGTGCTTTGGAAGGCACTGGCTCTCTCAGCAGCAACAAAGATCCTCCTATTTCTCAAGTGCTGTGGAAACAGAGCCAGTGGAGTGTAAGGGACCACAGAAAATTTGGGCAATGCATACATGGGCAGTAACCCGGCTGTCAGGAGAGTAGTGACCCTTCCCCCAATTTTTAGATATCAATGTAAACACCCTGGGGTCCTGGTGCTTCCCAGGGAGCAGGAAGTTACCCCTACAGTGTTCCTGAACACCTGAGTATATGGCTGAGGTTTATACCATTTGAGCATGGGGGCTTTACCAATTTACCAAGCGCTTTCACACTCCTAACCTCCTCCGGCCCTGGTAAAATGCCAGTGTGAAAGAAAATTATCCCTCTTCTAATGCAGTGAATGCAAAGGCTCATGGAGCTTAAGTGTCTTGCCTGGGGTCTCTACATTCCAATCTGCATACTTCCTACTATGCCTATGACTCACTGCATCCAAGATCTTTTAGCCTAACCTTGAAATCCAGCATTGCCATGTGAGAGTGTATTCCAATGTGAAAGAGAAGCCACATTAATAAATGGGCCTGTAGGATACAAAATTGCATCTGCAGCATATTTATAGAGTTATGTTGCAAAAAACTTGAAGCTATGCAGAGAAAAAAAAATCTTCATGTACATTACAGCAAAAGGGTAAAGGCAAGTGGGCTTAGGTGGTAGGTGGTGGGCAGATTATTTTTATACTTCTTTTTACACTCAAAAATTTATTTAATGACACACATGTTATGCTTACAGTGGGAAATATGAGTAATAATTTTTTTCAGGTAGCTTTAGAATCAAATAATTCTCCAACAGCAAGGCAGCTTCTTGTAGGAAATTATATATATATATATATATATATATATATATATATATATATATATATCCCCTTTATCTCCTCAACCACTCATTGTTGACCTAGCTATTAAATCAAATTATTCAGGATGACATCAATTTTCTATAGATATGCCAAGGCAATGACAGGAATCACTTCTAAATTTTGACAGAAGTCCAGATTTTGCCCTGAAGGAACAAAATCATATTCCGAGTAGCAAATTAGAAGAAATAATAAACGGAATTCTACATGAGCACTGACTCTTTCTTAGCTCCTCATACTGGCCTCTGAAAGAATTCCTGTCTGGAACTTCTGAGTATAACTTTGGGGACAGTGTGGGGTGAAAGGAAACAGCTCTTTCAGATCATCTATTCCTCACAAAGGCAAGGAGAATATCAGTGGGGCCCTCCTTGGCATGTCAGCCTTCTACTTCATCCATGAGCATCCCAGAACCGTACTTACATGAAAACACAGACCTCCCTGGCTGTGGCTTCACCTCACAGAATCTCTGAAGTAGTAAGGCCAGAAGGTTCCTAAGGTTTTCTCAAATCATGATCACTCACCTTCACACAGCCCAGTGTTCTCCAAGTAAAACTGGGCTCTACAGTGAGACAGACACTCGCCCGAGCTGATGTTCACACCAGACAGCTGCTCGGCTTGCAGTCCTGCCTCTGGCTTCTTGCACTGGGTACAGTGAGAGCGCTCTGGACCCACACAAGTCAGACAAGAGGAATGACAGGCTGCCAAAAGGAAAAGAATGCAGAAAACAACCCCAGGGTCATATATAGGTTGCAACCAATGGGGGGGGGGGGGCTATCATTAAATCAAAACCACTAAGAGAAGTTCACCAGATACATCCTTCCAGAATATTGTTTTTCTAGTGTGCTATACCAAAACACAAGGTGATAATAATAATACTTGCGAAGGGCAAAATGAGGGTGAGACTAACTAGTCATATCTCTCAGGTCCTGTAAGAGCTGCCTAGCTAGATTAAAACGAAAAACAAAACACAACACAAGAATAACAGCAAAATGGACAATATTGGCTTGGTTCTCCAGAGAAACACATTTACTGAATGGCGATTTAACATTATGTCTTCACTTTTTATTGAAGATTTTAAGAAGCATTCACATAAAGGCTATTGCTGTGTTTTTTGCAAACATGGTCATTGTGATATTGTCCATTATGCTATTCATCACCCAGTATGTAGGGGTCCAGACAGCAAATTCCCTTTAGAATTTATGAGAGAAAAGGCTGCTCTTATAAACAAGGAAGAGGCCTCTTTTGAGCAGCCACAATAATTTCATAATCCATCACAGCTCCTTGTTTTCCCTGGCTACTGGTAGAAATCGGAGCCAAATGGAGTACATGAGTTCTCTCAGGCTCACATTTTACACAATTAGCTTTCCTGTTCTTTAAAAGACTCACTACATTCTCCTTTTCGTAATATTTATTGCAGCTGCCTGTTTTAAAAACGTTTTGCTTGTAACTATTCTGAAGCTCTTTTCTAAGGTGCCCTGTGCATAAATAAATATAAGTTAATTTCATTTGAAGTGTTTGCTCCCAATGCTCTAGTTCCGAAAAGCTGAAATGTTACTGCCCTCCAAAGGAGCCCAAAGCCTTTCTTGGCAAACAGCTATTTAAGATTTTCCATTTTCCTCGGCCCGGAGGCAGTGCTGGTGACGCTCAGTGTGCTCGGCAGTATCATTAACAAAAAGAGCTTCTTCAGGGAAAAACAAAATGAAGACTAAGGAAGACATTAGCAATGCTAGAAGAATAGAAAAGCGAGGAAATGAGAATGGTTCTAATGCATGGCAAAGGAAATGGCATTCCTCTGAAGGATAGCCAAAAACATCATGAACCTGTGGGAGTCTTCACAGATATTGAAATGTAATTTTTCAGATTATCTCTTGGTAAGAAAAAAAAGCACATACTGTATATATTGCCATATAAGACAGTGATGGCGAACCTTTTGAGCTCGTATGTCAGCATTTTGAAAAACCCTAACTTAACTCTCGTGCCGTGTCACATATAGAAATTTTTTGATATTTGCAACCATAGTAAAACAAAGACTTATATTTTTGATATTTATTTTATATATTTAAATGCCATTTAACAAAAAAAAAAATCAACCAAAAAAATGAGTTCACATGTCACCTCTGACACGCGTGTCATAGGTTCGCCATCACTGATATAAGATATACCAGAGGAAAAGCTGAACTGAAAAGTAACTTAGGCCCTGATCAGGGAGTTCAGTTGGTTAGAGCCCTGGATTTGTGCATAAGATTCCCGGTCAGGGTATATACAAAAATCAACCAATGAATGCATAAATAAGTGGAACAACAAATCAATGTTTCTCTCTCCCTTTCTCTCTCTAAAATCAATCAATAAAAATATAGTAACTTAAATCTATGTCCTTTTAGATGGGAAAGTCTCTTAAGAATACGATGACACCAATGATACCTTTGCAGATCCCGTGGTCGGGGTAGAAGCCCACTCCACAGTTGGGCAGGCAGTGGCCTTGGCGCAGAGCCCAAGAGTGGGTGCAGGCTGTACAGTGAGAGGCCCTGGGTCCAGAGCAGCTGGCACACGAGTTATGACATACTGAGGAAGAGAGTGAGAGATGAGCACAAAGGGACCCAAGTGACTTTAGAGCCCACTTCTTGGCTGGGTTCGGTATGTGCTGGGAAGCCCTCTCCTCCATCACTCTCAATCTCTTTTTAGCTCTCACACTAAATCAAAAGAAAAGATGTGTTAGGGGGTGATTATATCTCTAGAACTGCCCACATTGCCCAATTACCCACTTTTATCCATGCTATACCTATTTATATCTATACTTACTACTAGTTATCCTTTATTTAGTATTTGTATTAAGTGTTTTATACACATTACCACTTTTAATCTTCACAGTAATATTAAGAGATAGGTATTCTTAACACTAGTGGCCTGGTCATGAAATTCGTGCAGAGGGGGGGGGTCCCTCAGCCCAGCCTGCACCCTCTCCAATCAGAGACTCCTTGGGGGATGTCTGACTGCCGGTTTAGGATATCCCTCTCACAATCTAGGACCTCTGGCTCCTAACTGCTCACCTACCTGCCTGCCTGATCGCCTCTAACTGTCCTCCCCTGCCAGCCTGATCTCGCCCTCAACTTCCCTCCCCTGCCAGCCTGATTTCGCCCCCAATGGCCCTCCCCTGCCAGCCTGATCTTACCCCACCCCCAACTTCCCTCCCCTGCCAGCCTGATCTTGCCCCAACTGCTCTCCCCTGCTGGCCTGATCACCCTTAACTGCCTCTGCCAGCCTGATTTCGCCCCCAACGGCCCTCTCCTGCCAGCCAATTTGGTTCTGATTGGTCAGTTTCTATGTTAATCAGCGTCGAAAGCTCCGCCTCCTAGGCAGCCTCCTAGGCTCCTCACAGTTCACCCAGATTTGGTTCTCATTGGTCGGTTTCTATGCCAGTCAGCATCTCTGGGCCTATCTCTAGGCCTGATAAGAGAGGCGGGGCTGATCAGCAGCCCCCACGAAGGCCCGGAGAGAAACAGAGGCACGGCTACTGGCGAAGCCGGGAGAGAGAGAGAGGCAATGGCTGATCAACAGCTACCATGGAGGCTACGGATCACACCCTGCTCTCTCTCCAGGCCTGATCTGCAGCTCCCTCAGCAGTCAGTGCTGGATTGCTGTGCCCGCACCAGTGGCAGTCAGTGCTGGGTTGCCATGCCCACCCAGCACTGACTGCAGGACTAACTTCCAGTGTTTGGTCGAGCCTTCGGTCGGTTGCTACGGACCTTGGGTTTTTATATATTAGGATCATTTTAAAGATGAAGAAACTGGTCTTGGGAAGTTAAAATATTTACCTAAGATCACAGGTAATTAGTAGCACGGCTGGAATTTAGCCCTGGGTTTGCCTGAATCTAAAATTGCCCATCTGAATAGGGGTGAGTAGAAAGTTCATAGGTTTGAGTGTTGGGAGCAGTGGAATTTTGACTGTCATGTCCATGAATTTATCTATGCCCTTCACCATGTCTGGGTATCTCCAGGCCTAGTTTCCTTGGCTTACACACTGTGAGAAGTTGGACTAAATGATTACTTAAGGTACCTTCAACTTGGATATTCTGAGACTCTAAGTAAGAATTACATTTAAGAATCTGACCACTACATATAACAATGTCAGACACACACATCTCCTTTAGTCCTGGGTGGTGGGCAAAACATAGGTCAACAGTTGGGAGTATGCGAAACACAGAGTTTATTCCTGTACTATTATTTATATATTAATTACTGCATTATCATTTATTATTATTATTAACCTACTTTTGCTTGCCCATGTAGTATTTATAAATGCCACCTAAGGAATGATTCTGTCATACCTTTGATCTAAGTTGGTGATGGTTTACAAGTACACAAGTACACTATGAAGGTCTTAAAGATGTTCTTGGCATTTCAAAAAGACCAAGTGATCTCTAATGATTGATATATATATATATATATATATATATATATATATATATAAGTTTTTTAATATTTAATCACTCTAGTATCTCAGCATCCACCCATGTCTCCCATTCCCATACCACATACATGTAGATTCTCTAATGAAAAAGCTATTCCTTTTGACATTTTCCCATTAGACACACAGATTCCAAAGTGAACAGATACAACTTCCAGTCTAGTCAATGATGACTATGACAATGATGGCCCATGTCTTACCTTTGCATCTGCCAGTGGCATCAGCATAATATCCACCAGGGCATTCAGAAATGCACTTGCCATCATGCAACACTGCCTTCTCAGCACAGGTAAGGCATCTGGGACTATTGGGGCCACAACTTTCACAGGATTGGTCACAAGCTAAGGGAGAGGAAAACCCATTAGAGAAAGTCAATAGTGAGCCAACAGAGCAGAGAAGTCTATTCATTACAACGCCCACAGTTGGTATCGACATAGTAATCTCATTCTCTGACTGCTCAACTGAGTGCTGTTTCCTTGATTCTAATATTTCAAAAGATCTGCATTTTCTGTCTTCACAGTTGAAGAACCAAAGAATTATTCATTGCACTAAGCATAACAAATACTCTGAGGCATTCCACCCGCCTCCAGTGTATCCAATTTAATATAGGATTTAAAGTTAAAGTGGCCCCAGAGATAGAGTTGCCAGATTTAGCACATAAAAATACCAAATGCCCCATTTAATTTGAACTTCAGATAAATAATGAATAATTAGTTAGTTTAAGTTTGTCCCAAATATTTCATCTTTTATCTGGCAACCCTAGTTGGGGAGAGAATTCAGAAACTCAGAGTTCTTCTATGCAAGGTTATGCTACAAAAATGTTAAGTTGTTGAACTCTCTCAATCTTCCAGGATCTACTCATTCACTTATGCATTTATATGAAAGGTCAGGAAAGGGTTTGTATAATAGTGACCCTTGAACATTGTCTTGGGAAGTGAATCAGAGTGTGCCCGGCTAATGGGAATGGCCTCAGCAGCAAGGCAAGGGAAGGTCCAGGGCCTGGCAAAAGTTTGGGCTGTCCAGAGAAAAAGCAGCTCCATTCAGCTGGAAAAGTGGACAGGGCCAGACGATATAAACTTGTATGCCAGACTCTACAGTCTAGATCTCATCTTTATGGAAGGAAGGCAGCAGGAGCCCTTGCCAAGTCTTGATTACAATAGAAACATCGCCATGTTGGGTATAAGAAAGATTAGTTTGGCTTCAGTTTAGAGGATAGTTTGGAGAGGTGATGAAGGAGAGTTGGGGGTCTAGCTGGAAGACTATGGCCATGCTCACAGAACAAGATGATCAGGGATTGAATCAAGGCTGTGGAGAAGATGATAGATTTGAGGCCTGTGTAGGAGAAAGTGTCTCAGATGGACTCCAGGGGTCTGGCTTAGGGGATGAGTGATGCCACTCACAGAATGAAAGAAGGAGAATGGTCATGAGGATTCTCATGGGCTGTTTTGGATAGGTGCTGTCCAGGAAACAGCCCGATTTATAGTTCTGGAGCTCTGGGGGAGCTCTGGGGGTCATCACATATAGGTGGTTGCTGAAATCAGAAGTTAGTTGATTTATTCAGGAAAAGCATAAAGGATAAGGCAGTAGTAGTCAGGGATCTGAGAGCGCCAACATTTAACGGAAAAAGAAAAAACTAGCAAATGTCACCAAGAAGAAATGACACAAAGGTAGAAGAGAAAACAGGAGTGTGATGGCTGAGAAGCTGAGGGGGGAAAAGTTTCAAGAAGGGAGTGATTAAAGTGCAGAAAGCACAAATAAAGTCTGAACATGGCTCACTACACTAAGGCATTGAGATATGGGTAACCTGTACCACTACCATTTAAGTGGAGTCATTAGAATGAAAGTGAAGGCTATGATTATTAACTGTTCTCTTAAAGGCTCCTGGCTGTGAATGGATGGGGACAGAGAGAGAAATAATTAAAAGGGTAAGAGGATGTTTTGTCTCTCCAATATTGTAAAAGCTCAAGGCAAGTATAGACCCAAGGAAAGGTTTTTAAAAGTGAAGAGTTTAAATAATTCTTCAAAGAATACCTAGGAGGAAAAGGGACTGTACATTCAAAAGTACAGAAGGAGAGATTAGCCTTGGACAGTCCAGAAGAAGGCCTCCTTTCCTGAAAGTGAAAGAAGGCAGGTGAGGGTAAATGCACCAGCAGGTAAGTCTGGGACTCTATCTACTCTATACCCATTGGTTAAATACTTTAAAAACAAAACAGACCTTCTCACTATTAGAGAATCAATGCTGAGATCTATTCTATCTGTTCTTTTCATCCACTTACACCATGCTAATCTCCTGAAAAACATTTTAAGACCTAGGGAAATAAGATGCAAACAATAGGGCCAAATGTTCCATCCTGCATTCTGGAGGATTCAGCATCTCACTAAAAGCAAATGTGTAAGGCAAGATAATATTCAGTAAATGGACAAAGACAATGATCTCTATACCAAAGAAAAAGAAAATCACCCTCTCAACTCATAACTGGAACAAAGAAGCAAAAATAAATCTGAAAAGCATCTTTCCACCCACGCTCCATAAAAATCTCCAAAGTTTCTAATTCTGGACCTGACATCTCAACAGAACAGAACAATCTTTAAGCTAAGTGGATTTCCCCAGAAATAAACAGTAGCAGAAATTTTTAAAAAATGTAGAGTTGACCAACAATAAAAACATTGTAAGTCAAACATTTTTTAAGACCCATCTAATGTAATACTTAAAGTGTAATTTGCAAATTTACATAAAGTTATTAGGAAAATGTCATTTTCTCCCAAACTAGTCTATAAGTTCAATATAGTATTAATAAAAATTCCAGCTGTATTTTATTAGGAATTTAATAAACATGTTCTAAAGCCCATAAATAACTAAGTCAACTTTGAAACTGAAGAGACAAGAAAGGGAAAATTTACCCAATCAGATATTGAGACATACTGCAAAGCAACAGAAATCAATGAAAACATAAAACAAAACAATGTGATAATGTACAGGACAGAAATTTAGACTACTGGAATAGCTCAGAGACAGACACAGAAATTTAATCTATACTAACAAAAGGGTAATATGCTAATTAGACCGGACATCTTATGGACAAAGTCACAGCGGCTGCTGCTACTGTGAGGACTGGGCCGAGGCTCAGGCAGCCACAGCAGCTGGCAGTGGCAGCGGCAGCGGCAGCAGCACAATGGGGGCGTCGCCTTCCCCTGATCAGCCTGGTCGCCTCCTGTAGAGGGAGGCCAGAGGCAGCAGCAGCAAGGGGGTGATGGGGGCGGTGCCTTCCCATGATCATCAGCCACAGAGAGAGGCCAGATTGCGGCTTAGACTAAGGTGTCAATAGGACATCCCCTGAGGGCTCCCAGACTGTGAGAGGGGGCAGGCCAGGCTGAGGGACCCCCCCACACACACACCAGTGCACAAATTTTCATGCACCGGGCCTCTAGTATACAATAAAGATCAATGGAAATGGTTAGATTGAATTACTAGATGATCTTGGGAAAACTGGATCATGAAATGAAGAAAAATAAAACTGGATCCCTACTTAAACCCATATCCATAAGTGGACTCCAGGTGGTTCAAAAAAGTAAGTTAAGATAAAACTGTCTGGTTAACAGAAGAAAATGTAGAATAATTTCTTTGTGAACTTGAGCAGAAAAAAAAAAAGACAATTCAAGTTCAAAATGGACAGAATTCTTTTTGAAAATTCAAAATCAAAATGTTGAAGTAAAAAATGATGAATTAAAATGTTCTGTTCAACAAAGGGCACCATAGTAACAGCTAAAAGGTAAAAAATTGGGAAATATTTGCATATTTGAGACTGAAAAGAGTTAATACCTATAACATACAAATAATTCCATAAAACCAATAACCAAAAGGCAGAAAGGCCCTCCATAAAACAATGGGGAAAACATTGTAAAATTCAATTTATAGAAGAGGAAACACAAAAGTCCAAAAGGAGTTGAAGATATTTTCAAGCTCATTAATAATCAAAAGGATGCAAATTAAAATGGGATGTCCCTGTATACCTATTGGCCAGAAAAAAATCTAAAGCTTGATAATGCCAAGTGGTAGTAAGGATGTGGGAATGGGAGATCTCTTGCTTTGGGTTATAGATGGTGGTGAGCGACCTGGCACTACTTAGTCATAGGGAATATTCAGAGTCAAGAAGTAATAGTGTCAACAATAAAAATAAAGATATATATTATATATATATGTACATATGTAGGGAGTGGCTCTAGAATTAAGCCTCGGATTGACCTGTGGCAGAGACACAAACAAGTCCCAGCTTAGAGGGCAGAGCCCTCTTAGCTTAATTAAGCTTAACCTTATAGCACCCCCTAGATCCTTCCTGGGTAGCTAATGGGCTGTGGGAGGTGCACCAAGTGCTGCCAAAACAAGTGAAACTCAGAAGAACATTGTAATTATGTTGACCACTACCTTGTTTTTCTCTGACTATAAAATAAAGCTTCAGCTTGCTGACTGGATCCTTCTCTGTGGACTCATTCAGGCACAGGAGATTCATGGAGCCCCAGCTTATTCTCTTTTTCTGTCTTTTCTTTAATCCTTCACCGCCCCTCCTCAGGCTCACTGAACCCTTGGCTGTGTTGGCATGGCATATATATATATATATATATATATATATATATATATATATATACATATATACACACATATATATATATACATATATACATATATACAGAAACCAACAATTCTGCTCCTGGGTTAGCCATTCCAGAGAACCTCCCACACAGTTCATGAAGGGACATTTTGCAGCTATTTGCTAGTGCTCTCTAGTGACGGCACATGGATGGAAGAAACACAGGGAGTCCATCACTGGGGAGTAGATGCATGAGCTGTGGGGATGGAGACCAGGGAGGACTATGCAGCAGCAAGAAGCAAAGGGCTAGATGATAAAGTAACATGGATGAATCTTAAAAACATAATGCTGAGAAAAAAAGGAAGAGAACAACATGACTTCTATAACATGATATCATTAAATATACATGCACACACAGTTACCTTTGTTGGGGTATCAATCCTCCCCATGAAGTCAAAATCCACATGGAATGTTTGACTCCTCCAAAACTTAACTACCCTAAGTATCTGCGGGGAATTGGTTTCAGGACCTCCACAGACACCAAAATCTGCAAATGCTCAGGTTCCCTACATACACTAGCATGGATCAATGCATACAGTTAGTCTTCAGCATCCCAACCATGGATTAAAAACAGTACAGGTATTTATTGAAAAAAAATCCGCATATAAGTGGACCCACACAGTTCAAGCCTGTGTTGTTTGAGGGTCAACTGTTCTCAAAAGGATATTACCCTGTTTATATAAAAACAAAAAGATTAAAAAATAAAATAAAATAGTTGCCTAGGTGAAAAAGGGAAAGGAAAATAAAAGGGGGAAAAAGGCAGAAAAATGGAGAGAACAGTTAACAGAAACCTCTGAACTGCTTTGATTTATGTTAGCTACAGTCATGAAAGCCTTCTTAATAACACAAGTACTTAAATAACTAAAGAATGAGGAGGTTTGTCCTTTGAGTTTCCCCACCCTTTATATCTAATATTTGTAAAACTCAAAGCATGTACCACAGATGAACGTGGTTACTGTAAATTCTTTCAACGAGGACATACCATCATTCATAACAGGTTATTCTGGATTGTTTTCAGCACTTGACCTTGAGATTGCTACAGATATGAGCTGCTTGGTTATAAATTATTAAACCAACACCAGCCGGTCTTTATCTTGAATAGCACTAATCTGAATTGGAAATGAGTCAGCATTATCAGCATCAGACATCATAATTAACATTCTGATACCAATCAGTGACTTGGTTCACCACTCTTCAGGAAATATTATTTGAACATTTCTGAAAGCACTTGATAAAAACTTAGAAAACTCTGAAAAGTGTAAATTCTAATCTTGTTTATCAAAAGGCATGTTGGTGAAGGCCAGTTGTGTTACAGAGTCTGTGCTAAGGCAGTGGTAGACAAACCACGGCTCGCGAGCCACATGCGGCTCTTTGGCCCCTTGAGTGTGGCTCTTCCACAAAATACCATGTGCTGGCGTGCACATACAGTGCTATTGAAACTTCGTGGCCCATGCGCAGAAGTGGGTTTTTGGAAAGGAGATAGACGAAACAAGTATACAAGAGGAGTGTGGACGGGAGAGTTGGAAGGGGTCAACCTCGGCAAACATACCTCAATCAGATTGAGGACATTTTTAGCAAAGGCCAACTTAGGAGTACCCTAATTAAGTTAATAACAATGTACCTACCTATATAGTTTAAGTTTAAAAAATTTGGCTCTCAAAAGAAATTTCAATCGTTGTACTGTTGATATTTGGCTCTGTTGACTAATGAGTTTGCCGACCACTGATATAAACGAGACTCAACTGGGCTGACTGGGCACTTCAAGTCTCTGCCACATAACTGTTCCATGTCAGTAGGCTACCTCAGGAATGTCCTCATGGAGATGACAGAAACACAAGAAAGAGCAAGGCCTCTCAAATTGTAGACTTAGAACCACCATACTTGCACTTCTGCTTCATTCTATTACTCAAAGCGAGGCACATGGTCAAGTCCAAAGATAGAGGCAGAGGACACTTCAAAGTCAAATGCCCAAGGTGGTGGATGCAGAGAGGGTAAAAGCTCATTCAACCCATCAGCAAGACCTATCAATTCTACCTTAGAAATACTTTCCACACCTGTCCCATACTCCTTCTATCTTATTGCTACCACCACTTCAGTTCACCATGATCTCTCTTACCTATCACCACCTGACTGCTCTGTCCAAATCTTTCTTGTCCATTCCTTCTCAGACCATTCTCAATGCAGCAATGAGAATAAACTTAAAAAGAAAACCTGCTGTGACCACTCATTTAATTAAGTTTGCCAAATGGTTTCCTATTGTTCTCAAGATAAAGGTGAAAATCCTAAGGCCTGAATTGTTTTCAATTTTCAATTCAGGGGTCATTTTAAAGCAAATAGGTGAACCTGGTGAAAGGGAGAAAGAGAGTGAAGAGGGAGTGTGGGAAAGAGAGGGTCTGTAATGACTTCAATGTGAGGACAGCCTGGGACCCCTTTCTCCAACCTCATCTCCTTCCATCCTTTCTTTCACTTTATGGATGGAACACATCATAATTCCCCAACCTGTACACTATTTCAAGCCTCTGAGGTCTTACTTTTGCATCCAAGTAGAGTTGTTTATCCCTCCTTTTGGTATGGATTGAAAACCCCTGTGCCTTTCTCCTTTCCTTCTTCCAGGGAAAAAGAAGAGAGGCAAAGAGCACAGATTGGTTTGGCTAAGTGGATAGAGCGTTGGCCTGTGGATTGAAGGGCCTGAGGTTCGATGCCAGTCAAGGACGAGGTGGGAGGGGGAGAGGAAGAGGAGGGGGAGAGGAAGGCCTACTCTTGCACGAATTTCATGCATCAGGCCTCTAGTTTTATATAAGAGACTTGAGCATTAGCAGATTTGGGTATTTGCATGGGTTGTGAAACCAATCTCCAGTGGATACCAAGGGCAATGGTAGAGTATAATACATTGATGTTTCTCTCTCTCTCTTCCTCTCTGAAATCAATAAAAAATATTTTAAAAAAAGAAAAAAAGAAACTAATACAACTTCTGAGAATCAGACATTGGGCTGGATAACATGGAAACATCTGTAGTTTGTGGGACAACAAATGCAGGCTGGTGTGGAGAAATGCGGGATTGAAGGCTAAGAACTCTCTCTTCCCTAAAGCAAGTGGATTTGTCAACTCCCAAAGATCAACTCATCCATTGCTACTAGCCTTTCTATTGGTATGCCCAAAGCAAACGCAATCACTCACTGTCAGGTGGCTATCTGTCTATTTGGCAATGTCTACAGGGTCAGGGGAATGATCTGAAGACTGACAGGAGGGTAGGAGGAAGGAGGAGAAGAGAAAGAGGGGAGAGGAAAATAGAAAAAGAAGAGAGGGGAAATCTAGGAAGAGGTGTGTAAGTAGGATCACACTGTAGTGAAGAGGCAGTTAACATCTGGAGCCAGAGACCAACTCTATCTCTTATGAGCTATGTGATCTTGAGCTAGTTTTTCATCAGGAAAATGAGCATGATGATCATAACTATCTTATAAAATTGTTGTGAGGATTAAACACCAAACACTTACATAGCACTTACTCTGTGTTGGGCACTGTGCTAAATGCAATGCTATTAACTCATTCCTCTCAACAGCCTTCTGAGGAGGGTGTGTATTAATTTCCCATTGCTGCCTTAACAAATTACCACCAACTCAGTGGTTTAAAACAACACAAATTCATTATCACTCTAGAGATCAGAAGTCCTAAAATCAGGATGTGTGCAGAGTTGCATTCCTTCTGGAAGTCCTGAGGGGAGGGGGGGGGGTCATTTCCTGTTTTTTTTTCAGCTTCTGGAGGCTGCCTGCCAGCTCATGGGCCCCTTCCTGGCATCAACTCTGACCCTTGCTTCCATCTCTGATCTTCTTTTCTGACTCCCACCCTCAAGCCTTCCTCCTATAAGGACCCTTGTGATGACACTGGCCCAGGCGGGTAATCTAGGATAATCTGCCATCTCAAGATCCTTAACTTAATCACACCTCCCAACCCCTTCTGCCATTGAAGGCGGCATAATCACAAGTTACAGTGATTAGAATGTGGACATCTTTGAGGGGCCATTCTTCTGTCTACCACGAGTGCTGTATTATCCCCATCCAGGAAACGGGCATATGGAGAGATTAAGTAACTTGCCCAAGGTCACGCTTTCCCCACCGTACTTTCCTGCTTCTCAGTAAGTGTGTGTTTATAACGTACTTGGAACAGTGACTGGCACAGGGACGCAGGAAGCCGGATTAACGCTTACTGTTGTGCAGTGGGTATTAAAGGTAGACTAAACAAGAACTGCTTTAGTTTTAAGTCAGTGGCACCAAAAACAAAGGCAGGTCTGCCCTTGGCTGGCCTGGAAGTGTCCTTGTCTCCATGCATATTTGGAAGGCAGTCTGAGATTTGGAGAAAGGAAGCCCTGCTCCTGTCCCTTGAGCTGTGGGTCTGGAACAAGCAGCCCAGTCCTCACTGTCTTTATCTGTAGAACAAGCTAAACACCTTGAGGGGAAAAGGGAAGTATTAAAGGGGATATCCCCCAAGTAAAAACACATGTTTTGCAAACTACTAAAACACCAGCAATGTCAGCATATTGCATATTCATTGAGTAAAAGAAACATTAGTTATTGGTGCTATGATTTGAATTAAACATGGGACCCCTGAAAGAGGAAAAGATGCAAAGTCTGGTACCTACCACTGCAGGTGCCCTGCTTGTTGTAAAACCCAGGGCCACAGCTGCTCTCACAGGCGCCCTCTCTCAGCACGTGGAACGGGTCCCCGCAGGCCAGGCAGTGTTTCTCCGTGGGACCCCAGCAGGCTGCACAGGACTCGTGGCAGGCTGCAGGCAAACAGCAGAGTCAGTGAACAAGCCATAGCACAAAGGACTGGTCAGTTTCTCCTGGAAAAGTTTTGAAATTTACAAGGAGGATGTTGGCTCCTTCATCCCTAAATCGCTCTGCACATGTATACACCCCAGGAGACTCCCCTCCCCACCAAAAACAAACAAACAAACAAAAAACTATTTATCTTGGCCAGAACTACAATTCCAATAAATTATTGCTGGGAAAAAATTGGAATAGGAAATCAGGAGCTTTTGAAAAATGGAAATCACAGGGAAGGAAACCATAATGTTCTAGACCAGTGGTTCTCAACTGTGGGTTGCGACTCCTTTGGGGGTCGAAGGACCCTTTCACAGGGGTTGCCTAAGACCATCGGAAAACACATATATAATTACATATTATTTTTGTGATTAATCACTATGCTTTAATTATGTTCAATTTGTAACAATGAAAATACATCCTGCATATCAGATATTTACATTACGATTCATAACAGTAGCAAAATTACAGTTATGAAGTAGCAACGAAAATTATTTTATGGCTGGGGGTCACCACAACATGAGGAACTGTATTAAAGGGCCGCGGCATTAGGAAGGTTGAGAACCACTGTTCTAGACGAAGATGGACTGTCTAATAAGGTCAGACGTCACTCTGTCATGTTGCCTTTGCAGCCACACAGCAAAGTGAAAGCCACACAGCTGGAGACACTTCTGTCTCCAGCGCCATCTACAATCAGTTAAGGAAGGAACACTGTGTCCTCCAGTCCTTGATTAGACCTTGAAGGACCTAGTATCGTTTGACCCTGTGGCTTTTCCCCTCCCTTTCCATCTCCTCTCTCTCCATCCCTCAGCATACCCTCTCCTGCTCTCCCTCACAACTCCTTCAATCTCCCACAGGCTCTGGTTACCCCCAATAGCATCGGCTCTCAGCGTGCACCCTGAGGATTCAGAGCCTGCTTTTTCCTTACACTTTAGGTTTCTAACTATATGTTGTTCCCAGACCAACATTGTTCCTTTAAGACTCCAAAATTTCCAGCATTTAATTTTTTATTACTCTTTCGGCTTGCTCTTCACCTTGGAGAGGTCTATTCTAGACTGAGTATATTCAGACATAACTCTCTGTATGGCTAACCCCAGCCTTGCTTTTGTTATGCATTCTAATTTTCAAAATGTTTGCTTCACAATGAAACACAACCTGTTTTGCAGACATATTCAGTCTGACCAAAACTGGTAGGAGGAATGCCTTAGCTGATTGCAAGTGACTTGGGGATTTCACTTAAGTAATTTAATTAGGTATCTGTTTGGAAACAGAAGAAAGGATAACTACACTGCAAATCTCAAGACCCAGTCCTCTCCTCTCTGTTCTAAATTGCACATGAAAGCACAATCTCAGACAACTTTTCTCCTCAATGAATTGAGAGAAAATGACAATTTGTCTTAAGTGCTAGCAAGACTCTGATAAAGAATAACAGTGGTGAGGCTGGAAAGGACTGATTTTAGGTGGAGCTAAAGGATGAGAAGTAGCCAGCATGGGCAGAGCGAAGAACAACACAAAGGTATTGAGAAGGGAAGGAGCTTAGGGTTCAAGGCTGCTTTCCTGGCTGGAGCTGGAGCTGCTGGGGTGAGGGTGGGGCAGAGCAGGAAAGGGTGGCCTGATTCATTACTGGAGGTAAGGCAGAGGCCCTATCAAACTTGACCTTGGAGACCATGGAAAGAAATTAGGATTCTATCCTAATTGCAATGTGAAGTCATGAACAGCCTTAAGAAGGATAGACACAAGCCCCGATTTAGATTTTTAAAGTCTCTCTCTGGTTGCCATGAAGAGAGGGCTCAAGGGCTTAAGTGAAGATAGGGAGACCAGTGTGGAGGCAATGCTATGATCCAAATGAGAGATACCGATGGCAAGTAGGAAGCAGAAATGGAGGAACATTTACTTATCTGGTTTCATGAGACCATAAGCTTCATGAGGGCAGAGCCCATTTCTATTTTGTTAACTCCTCACTAAGCATACTGTTTGGTGCTCTACAAACATCTCTTGAGTGTCTTCATTTACATTGAGCCATCTCATTGGTATTTTACAAGTGGTACACAAGAATTCTTTACATATTAGGATAACTACTAACACTACATTACAACTAAAGACGTGGATGCAAAGATCCCAGTAACAAGTTCTACTACCCTCAATACACATGAAATCTGTAATTTATTTATTCAACTACCCTTCAATCAGGGGCCATAATCATTGTCTGAAGTGTCTAACACTGTTCATGCCTCTGTCTCACTGGCTGAGTAGTTGATACAAAGTATTTACCTAAACAAATAAACAAAAGAAGCCCAACCTCACGTCTAAGAAGGTCCGCCAGGTTGACCTGTCTATCAGTGCTCAGAAGCACCTACTCTGTGCCAGATGCTGCGCTAGCCTGTGAGGCCTTCCCAGAGCCACAGGTAGGCCTATTACCTGACGCCTACAGAGGAAACAATGAACCACCTCTCACTTGAGCACACTACACTGGTGGTAATGTGCAAACTGCTCAGGGAGTATGTGCCCCAGGGGATGATGGGAATTGAGGCTAAAAAGACAACAGGGGCCAAATCACAAATGTGGGCAGGACTGGGTAAGGACCTTGAACTTCATCCTGTAAGAGTTTTAATGAGGGCAGTGGAAGTGACCGTTTTTGCTTTCTAGACAGTTTGTTCTGCAGTGGGGAGAGGAGAGGGTGATTAAGAAATCTGTGAGGGATAAAATCATCTTAGTCCAGGGGGTGAGGCGAAGATGAGAAAGAACAACTAGCTCTCTTCATGGACTGGCTGATGGCAGTGCAGACACTCAGCTGCGCTGGCTATTAAAATAGTACAAATACTTCCAATTTGGTTGCTAATTGGTCACTGTCCTGAGCCCTCCATGACACTCTGGCTTGTCCCTGGAACCTGGCAGGCACCATCCTTTAAGAGGTTGAGGACAGAAGAGGGTCTCAGGCCCTCTCCTCCTGACTGATCTGATTTGTGCCATCCTGTGTTAAATATCTATATCTACATCTATATCTATATCCTCTACTTATATAAAAACCATGAGTTGTGTTCATCATGACCTGAACCGCTGCGACCAAGCGGAAAGAAGTCAGTCGTGCAGGGGTTGTCTTGGCAATGGCTGTGCCCTCCCCTGAGCTGTTTCCTTGAGCTGTTTTCAGTGAGGGCGGGGTTTGAGCAGGAACCCACCCTTGGAGTGTGGACCCACTGAATCCTGGGTCGTTTTGCCAAGGGCTGTGCCCTCCCCAGCTGTTTCCCGTGTGGCCTGAGGGAAGAACCCACCCTCAGAGCACCAGGAGCACCCAGCAGCAGTCAGTCCTGGGTTGCTGAGGTGGAGGCCACGGCGTGGTAAAACTCTGAGTCTGGACCAACAGGGGGCATGTCCGACCTTCAAACCAGACCCTGACAGTAGAAAGGAGGGAGCCCCATTCCTCACAGAATCCGCTGTTGGATAGCTTGCTGTCAGTGGCCTGCCAGCCAGGAACCCCATTCTCCTGCACCCCAGACCCTGACAGGAGGGAGGAGAGAGCCCCTTTCCTCGCAGAATCTGCTCCTTCTGATACTGTTTATTTATTAATAAATTTATATATTATTTTCATATACATTTTACTAATTTCCTTTCATCTCTCACACTTCTATTATAGAGAAAGGGCAAATAGCAATATTAAAATATCTCTGCTAATTAATTCCCTTTTAAAAAAAAATATTTTATTGATTTTTTTTACAGAGAGGAAGGGAGAGGGATAGAGAGTTAGAAACATCGATGAGAGAGAAACATCGATCAGCTGCCTCCTGCACACTCCCCACTGGGGATGTGCCTGCAACCAAGGTACATGCCCTTGACAGGAATCGAACCTGGGACCCTTGAGTCTGCAGGCCGATGCTCTACCCACTGAGCCAAACTGGTTAGGGCAATTAATTCCCTTTTAATGTGCACAAATTTCATGCATCGGGCTACTAGTATATAATAAAACCCTAATATGCAAATAGACCAAATGGTGGAACGACCAGTTGCTATGATGCGCACTGACCACCGGGGGTAGACACTCAAGGCATGAGCTGCCCCCTGGTGGTCAATGCACTCCCACAGGGCGGATATCCCCTGAGGGGTCCCAGACTGCTAGAGGGTGCAGGTTGGGCTGAGGGACCCCTCCCCCCCAGTGCACGAATTTTGTGCACTGGGCCTCCAGTCTTTAATATTACCCCTGGCATTGCCCATCAGAACAGGGGCCAAGGGTGATCAGGATAGAGGCCACAGACTCAGGGATGCACTCAGGCCCATCACATACTGAGCCCTACAGAACTCTTCATACCTGCCTTCTGCAGCCTCCTTCATGCTTGCCAATCCCATGAAACTGGGTACCCTATGCATGCCCTGTACCTGTCAGAGGTCCTGGATACCCCACAGAGGATTCACCCTGCTCCTGAAATCCTATTGACACTTCAGAAGGCCTCCTAAGTTGTCACTACGTCTGCGAAGCTTTGCTGAGCTTGTCCAAAGTTGTTTGGTCCTTCCTTTATGTTCCTGCAGCCCTTTGTACATGCCTATCTTGTTCTATTTATCCTACTGCACTAATTACTCAGCTACAGACCAATCCCCTTCAACGGAATGTAATATCCTCCAAAACAGGGGCCATGTTTCAGTCATCTTAACCCCAGTGTCAGGATTGATGCCTGGTGCACAGTCAGGACTCATTAAATGTATGTTAAATTAATTAATTAATAGCTTCTTTTTTTTTGCTACAGGGAATTTATCCTATTAGTTATCTTCTATATAGTAATGCCTACATGATGAGTTGTAATCATCAGGTCATAGTCTGAAAATATGATACCTTAAGATAGATAAACTTGAGGCTATAAAATTTACCTGGTAAGTGTTGGAGCCCAGATCTGCTTATGATGCTATATTCATACAAAGTAACCATATCTCCATATCAGACAAAAGCCATGTTCCATGGCCTGATAGAACAGCA